TTATGTAAGGAAATAAATGTAACCAATCCAAATCGCCCAAAATCCAACAAAGGCTTTAATTCTATTCGATATTGGTTCTCAATTATCGTTCATATCAAAGGATTTGGCTTATCGATTGAATCTACAAGAAACTAACGAGATGGAAATAAAAATTGCTTCATTTGGTGATAAGACGCCAAAAACGTGTATCACTACTAAAACTGAAATCGGAGTAAAAATTGGAAATAAAGAAATAATCCGATTAGATGTAATAACAGTTAACCACTTGACGAATGAATTGCAAGTAGTTAATCTAAACAAAAAGGAATTGTTGATGATAGACAAACGAAATCAGTTTAGTAATTTCAAAAACAAATGGAAACAACCGGACATACTCATAGGTGCGGATCACTTCTTCAAGTTTATCCAGTTTGACCAAGCAGAGAACTTAAAATCAGGATTTTCATTGATCCATACAAAGGTTGGACCTATAATAGCTGGAAGTGGGTATATAAATGAAATACACGACAGTATTTCAGAAACCACATCAGTAAGTCCGATTTCTCAAGTCAATGCCGTCAATATTCCAGACTTAGATCACTTTTGGAAACTGGAAATAATGGGTATACAAGACAAAATAAACTCTGACAATGATGAAAAAGCATTGCAGCAATTTAAACAAACTATCACTAGGGACAAGGGAAGATATCAAGTTTGTTGGCCTTGGAAAGATTCAAAGAACAAACTAAGCGATAATTTCGGACTTTGCCTTGGAAGATTAAAGTCGTTAATTAGGAGGCTTCAAATGAAACCTCAATTACTAAGTCGATACAATCAAACTATTGAAGAACAACTCAATTCCAATATAATTGAGAAAGTGTCATCGGAAATGAATGAAGTTGGTATTATTCATTATCTGCCTCATCACGAAGTAATAACACCAAATAAAACCACGACAAATCTGAGGATAGTTTATGATGCATCAGCTCATTGTAAAGGAATGAAAAGTTTAAATGATGTTTTATATCGGGGACCAATAACACTCCCTGATTTGGTTGGAGTTTTGCTACGTTTCCGTACAATGAAAAATGTAATAATAGCAGACGTAGAAAAGGCGTTCTTGCAAATAGAATTGCATCCAACAGATAGAAACTGCACTCGATTTCTTTGGTTGAAAGACATTCGAAGTCCAGTTAACGAAGAAAACGTAAGTTGTTACCGTTTCCAACGAGTTCCATTTGGAATTGTATCATCTCCATTTTTATTGTCCGCTACACTCAATTATCATTTGGAAACTTGTAAAAGCAAAATCGCACTCGAGTTAAGGAAAAATCTCTATGTCGATAACATTATAATACCAACCAAAGGAACCAACGAAGCTCTTTCCAATTATAAGGAAATTAAAATTATATTCAATGAAGCATCAATGAATGTACGGGAATTTCTCTCTAACGACCAAGAAGTCAATGAAAAACTTCCGGTACAAGATCGAGCAGAGGTAAGTTCAATTAAAAAATTCTAGGTCTCAATTGGTACCACAAACAAGATATCATTCAAGTAACGTTAAAACCATGGTTTGGTAAGAAATTAACTAAAAGAATTGTATTGCAATTCGTAGCCTCAATATGACCCACTAGGATTCATAGTTCCTATACTGATAAGATTCAAATTGTTTCTCCAAACTTTGTGGAAAAAGAACCTTTCATGGGATCAAACTATAAGTGAGGAAGATGAAACCACGTGGAAATTACTCACGAACGAATGGCCAAAGAAACTAAAGGATCTACCAAGATTCACAACAAATTGTTCCAAGCAAGTACAATTTCATGTTTTTACTGACGCATCAACTGCTGCATACTCAGCAGCTTTATACATTCGAACTCAAGAAAGAGAAGTATTCTTAGTGTTTGCTAAATCCCGAATTGCGCCAATTAAAGGAATGTCAATACCTCGATTAGAATTACTGGCAATACTCATCGGAGTGAGAATGGTACAATTCGTATTAAAACAAAAAGAGCTTGAGGACGTGATAACAATTTTATGGTCCGATTCTCAATGTGCGCTTCATTGGGTTCACAATAGTTCCCGTTTACTACCAACGTTCATACAAAATAGGGTAGAAGAAATACGAAAGCGAAAATCCATTTTAGATATATCCCAAGTGAACAAAACCCAGCTGATATAGCTACAAAAGGAATCTCTCCGAATAAACTAAAAGGATATGATCTTTGGTGGAAAGGACCAAAGTGGTTAACAGAAAACGAATCAAAATGGCCACAGTGGAAATACAATTACAATGAGGATTACCAGGATGAAGAAATTGTGGCCCACATCACAGAACCAATTATCATAAACAAACATTTCGGAATCTTAGATGCTAGTCGTTTTAGCAAATGGTCAAGATTAATAAGAACAACTGGTTGGGTTCTGAAATTCATAAGATTAACAATGAAAAGGGAAATTCCTTGGCTAAAGATGGCAACGAAAGAAAAGAATATATTGACAACACAGGATTACGAGTTGTCAGAAATTGTGCTATTCAAACAAGCACAGTCAGAAGGAGTTACCAAAGATGAAATAATCAAATGGAATTTGTTCTATGATAACGAACTATGGAGATACAAAAGCCGCGTAGTTAACTCTGAAATGAAAGAGAGTAACTTACACCCAATATATCTCCCGAGACACAACACCATAACTGAACTCTTTATTCAGCAACGACATGAACAACTGTATCATGCTGGAATTGCTCATACACTCTCAAATCTGAGATCGACGATATGGATCCCAAAAGGTAGAACGGAAGTCAAACGAATCTTGAATAAGTGCATGAAGTGCAGACGCTGGACAACTAAACCATTCAAATTACCAACTATGACTGATCTTCCAGCATCTCGGACCACAAGATCAAGACCCTTTGCGCGAGTAGGACTAGACTATTTAGGTCCTGTGAATATCAGGAGTGATAATGGGCTAACAAAAGATGGGTAGCACTATTCACATGTTTCACAACAAGAGCTGTACATCTAGAAGTAGTAGAAACTCTTTCAGCCGAAAGCTTTTTACATGTTTTCAGAAGATTTACAGCAAGACGAGGCTTTCAGAATTAATCTTAAGCGACAACGCTGGTCAATTCCAGTTAATTTTTAAAATCATTGTGAAACAACAATTAAATGAATTCCTAGCGGAAAGGAAAATGATCTGGAAAAATATAATACCAAAGGCGCCTTGGAACGGAGGAGTATATGAGCGACTTATTGGGTTAACAAAAGGGCAATGAAAAGAGCCATCGGCAGAAAGTTATTATGGGAACGGGAATTGATTACGCTAGTAGCGGAAGTGGAAAGTATTTTGAATACTCGACCACTAACTTACGTAAATTTTGATGATTGTATCATATTGCGTCCAATTGACTTTATACTACCGAATGCGCATCTAATCATGCCTGCTAAAAACAAGAATGAAATGGATGATTTTATCCCTCATAAATTGGATTCGAGAGAAAAACTCATTCAATACTGGTCAAATACACTAAAGGCCCTCGATGCCTTCTGGGGAATATGGAAAGAGGAATATTTAAATACTCTTAAAGAAAGAGCACAAAGGGAACACTCTTCTCCGAGAGATGTAGTAAAAAGAACTCCCCACGAGGGAGAGATTGTGTTACTAAATGAACCAGAAATTCCCGTGGCATGTGGAAACTAGCCAGAATAAGAGAAATCAAAACAGGAAAGGATGGAGAAGTGAGAAGTGTCTCAATAGAATTACCGAAAGGAAAATACTCAACAGACCGGTGAATATGTTATACCCACTGGAAGTCAAAGGTGAGAAATTGACCTCAACCAACAATGTTTAACAAATCAGTGCAAAATGTCAATGAACAAGAACCAATTGCTCTACGAACTAGAAGCGCTATAAGGCGAAGCAATCAACCAAAGCTGTCCAACGAACTAAAGCATTTAGCTCCTTCGGTCGGGAGTGTCGCGGATTTTAATATCGCGATCTAAAAATATGAGTTGCAAATTGTAGTAAAGATATCTACGTAATTTCCGCAAATAATGCTTATACTTCGGACTCTTTGTTTCCAAATTTATGCTTCTACATATTGAAACAATTTACATCGTTCTTTGTTAGCAATCCTTACAATCATGAGGATATCTACATTGTTCTTTGTTAGCTATCATAATCATGCGGTTATCTAATAAGCTCTTTATTAGCAACTGGTGCCCATGCAAGCACCTCCTCTCCTTGTTTGGATCATTGTCTAACATCAATGTAGATTTTATAACCATACTATTGTCAATTAGATCAGTTTTAAAATCATCCAATCCTCCGAATCAGTTTATTCAATTGTTGCCCAATATTTAGCTGGCATCCAACACATCTCCCTGACATCAAACTTCTCCCCGAATAACAATTTAACCAAATCATAAAGGTTTGTTTCCAAAAACATTTTTTTCATACAGATACTCAGACGTTATCACAATTCATGGATGTATAATGCTGAGAGCGTTAATTACAATTCATGGATGTATGATTCTCAGACCGTTAATACAATTCATGGATGTATGATACTCAGACCGTTAACACAATTCATGGATGTGTGTTACTCAGACCGTTAACACAATTCATGGATGTGTGTTACTCAGACCGTTATCACAATTCATGGATGTATAATGCTGAGAGCGTTAATTACAATTCATGGATGTATGATACTCAGACCGTTATCACAATTCATGGATGTATAATGCTGAGAGCGTTAATTACAATTCATGGATGTATGATTTTCAGACCGTTAATACAATTCATGGATGTATGATACTCAGACCGTTAATACAATTCATGGATGTATGATACTCAGACAGTTAACACAATTCATGGATGTGTGTTACTCAGACCGTTATCGCAATTCATGGATGTATAATGCTGAGAGCGTTAATTACAATTCATGGATGTATGATTTCAGACCGTTAATACAATTCATGGATGTATGATTCTCAGACCGTTAACACAATTCATGGATGTATGATTCTCAGACCGTTAACACAATTCATGGATGTGTTACTCAGACCGTTATCACAATTCATGGATGTATAATGCTGAGAGCGTTAATCACAATTCATGGATGTATGATACTCAGACGTTATCACAATTCATGGATGTATAATGCTGAGAGCGTTAATTACAATTCATGGATGTATGATTTTCAGACCGTTAATACAATTCATGGATGTATGATACTCAGACCGTTAACACAATTCATGGATGTGTGTTACTCAGACCGTTATCGCAATTCATGGATGTATAATGCTGAGAGCGTTAATTACAATTCATGGATGTATGATTTCAGACCGTTAACACAATTCATGGATGTGTGTTACTCAGACCGTTATCGCAATTCATGGATGTATAATGCTGATAGCGTTAATCACAATTCATGGATGTATGATACTCAGACCGTTATCACAATTCATGGATGTATAATGCTGAGAGCGTTAATTACAATTCATGGATGTATGATTTTCAGACCGTTAATACAATTCATGGATGTATGATACTCAGACCGTTAATACAATTCATGGATGTATGATACTCAGACCGTTAACACAATTCATGGATGTGTGTTACTCAGACCGTTATCGCAATTCATGGATGTATAATGCTGAGAGCGTTAATTACAATTCATGGATGTATGATTTTCAGACCGTTAATACAATTCATGGATGTATGATACTCAGACCGTTAACACAATTCATGGATGTGTTACTCAGACCGTTAACACAATTCATGGATGTGTGTTACTCAGACCGTTATCGCAATTCATGGATGTATAATGCTGAGAGCGTTAATTACAATTCATGGATGTATGATTCTCAGACCGTTAACACAATTCATGGATGTATGATTCTCAGACCGTTAACACAATTCATGGATGTGTGTTACTCAGACCGTTATCGCAATTCATGGATGTATAATGCTGAGAGCGTTAATCACAATTCATGGATGTATGATACTCAGACCGTTAACACAATTCATGGATGTGTGTTACTCAGACCGTTATCGCAATTCATGGATGTATAATGCTGAGAGCGTTAATTACAATTCATGGATGTATGATTTTCAGACCGTTAATACAATTCATGGATGTATGATACTCAGACCGTTATCACAATTCATGGATGTATAATGCTGAGAGCGTTAATTACAATTCATGGATGTATGATTCTCAGACCGTTAATACAATTCATAGATGTATGATGCTCAGACCGTTAACACAATTCATGGATGTATGTTACTCAGACCGTTAACACAATTCATGGATGTGTGTTACTCAGACCGTTATCGCAATTCATGGATGTATAATGCTGAGAGCGTTAATTACAATTCATGGATGTATGATTTTCAGACCGTTAATACAATTCATGGATGTATGATACTCAGACCGTTAACACAATTCATGGATGTGTGTTACTCAGACCGTTATCGCAATTCATGGATGTATAATGCTGAGAGCGTTAATTACAATTCATGGATGTATGATTTTCAGACCGTTAATACAATTCATGGATGTATGATACTCAGACCGTTAACACAATTCATGGATGTGTGTTACTCAGACCGTTATCGCAATTCATGGATGTATAATGCTGAGAGCGTTAATTACAATTCATGGATGTATGATTTTCAGACCGTTAATACAATTCATGGATGTATGATGCTCAGACCGTTAATACAATTCATGGATGTGTGTTACTCAGACCGTTATCGCAATTCATGGATGTGTAATGCTGAGAGCGTTAATCACAATTCATGGATGTATGATACTCAGACGTTCTCACAATTCATGGATGTATAATGCTGAGAGCGTTAATACAATTCATGGATGTATGATTTTCAGACCGTTAATACAATTCATGGATGTATGATACTCAGACCGTTAATACAATTCATGGATGTATGATACTCAGACCGTTAACACAATTCATGGATGTGTGTTACTCAGACCGTTATCGCAATTCATGGATGTAATGCTGAGAGCGTTAATTACAATTCATGGATGTATGATTTTCAGACCGTTAATACAATTCATGGATGTATGATTCTCAGACCGTTAACACAATTCATGGATGTATGATTCTCAGACCGTTAACACAATTCATGGATGTATGATTCTCAGACCGTTAACACAATTCATGGATGTGTGTTACTCAGACCGTTATCGCAATTCATGGATGTATAATGCTGAGAGCGTTAATCACAATTCATGGATGTATGATTTTCAGACCGTTAATACAATTCATGGATGTATGATACTCAGACCGTTAATACAATTCATGGATGTATGATACTCAGACCGTTAACACAATTCATGGATGTGTGTTACTCAGACCGTTATCGCAATTCATGGATGTATAATGCTGAGAGCGTTAATCACAATTCATGGATGTATGATACTCAGACCGTTCTCACAATTCATGGATGTATAATGCTGAGAGCGTTAATTACAATTCATGGATGTATGATTCTCAGACCGTTAATACAATTCATGGATGTATGATACTCAGACCGTTAACACAATTCATGGATGTATGTTACTCAGACCGTTAACACAATTCATGGATGTGTGTTACTCAGACCGTTATCGCAATTCATGGATGTATAATGCTGAGAGCGTTAATTACAATTCATGGATGTATGATACTCAGACGTTATCACAATTCATGGATGTATAATGCTGAGAGCGTTAATTACAATTCATGGATGTATGATTTTCAGACCGTTAATACAATTCATGGATGTATGATACTCAGACCGTTAATACAATTCATGGATGTATGATACTCAGACGTTAACACAATTCATGGATGTGTGTTACTCAGACCGTTATCGCAATTCATGGATGTATAATGCTGAGAGCGTTAATTACAATTCATGGATGTATGATTTTCAGACCGTTAATACAATTCATGGATGTATGATACTCAGACCGTTAACACAATTCATGGATGTGTGTTACTCAGACCGTTAACACAATTCATGGATGTGTGTACTCAGACCGTTATCGCAATTCATGGATGTATAATGCTGAGAGCGTTAATTACAATTCATGGATGTATGATTCTCAGACCGTTAACACAATTCATGGATGTATGATTCTCAGACCGTTAACACAATTCATGGATGTGTGTTGCTCAGACCGTTATCGCAATTCATGGATGTATAATGCTGAGAGCGTTAATCACAATTCATGGATGTATGATACTCAGACCGTTAACACAATTCATGGATGTGTGTTACTCAGACCGTTATCGCAATTCATGGATGTATAATGCTGAGAGCGTTAATTACAATTCATGGATGTATGATTTTCAGACCGTTAATACAATTCATGGATGTATGATACTCAGACCGTTATCACAATTCATGGATGTATAATGCTGAGAGCGTTAATTACAATTCATGGATGTATGATTCTCAGACCGTTAATACAATTCATGGATGTATGATTCTCAGACCGTTAACACAATTCATGGATGTATGTTACTCAGACCGTTAACACAATTCATGGATGTGTGTTACTCAGACCGTTATCGCAATTCATGGATGTATAATGCTGAGAGCGTTAATTACAATTCATGGATGTATGATTTTCAGACCGTTAATACAATTCATGGATGTATGATACTCAGACCGTTAACACAATTCATGGATGTGTGTTACTCAGACCGTTATCGCAATTCATGGATGTATAATGCTGAGAGCGTTAATTACAATTCATGGATGTATGATTTTCAGACCGTTAATACAATTCATGGATGTATGATACTCAGACCGTTAACACAATTCATGGATGTGTGTTACTCAGACCGTTATCGCAATTCATGGATGTATAATGCTGAGAGCGTTAATTACAATTCATGGATGTATGATTTTCAGACCGTTAATACAATTCATGGATGTATGATGCTCAGACCGTTAATACAATTCATGGATGTGTGTTACTCAGACCGTTATCGCAATTCATGGATGTATAATGCTGATAGCGTTAATCACAATTCATGGATGTATGATACTCAGACGTTCTCACAATTCATGGATGTATAATGCTGAGAGCGTTAATTACAATTCATGGATGTATGATTTTCAGACCGTTAATACAATTCATGGATGTATGATACTCAGACCGTTAATACAATTCATGGATGTATGATACTCAGACCGTTAACACAATTCATGGATGTGTGTTACTCAGACCGTTATCGCAATTCATGGATGTATAATGCTGAGAGCGTTAATTACAATTCATGGATGTATGATTTTCAGACCGTTAATACAATTCATGGATGTATGATTCTCAGACCGTTAACACAATTCATGGATGTATGATTCTCAGACCGTTAACACAATTCATGGATGTATGATTCTCAGACCGTTAACACAATTCATGGATGTGTGTTACTCAGACCGTTATCACAATTCATGGATGTATAATGCTGAGAGCGTTAATACAATTCATGGATGTATGATTTTCAGACCGTTAATACAATTCATGGATGTATGATACTCAGACCGTTAATACAATTCATGGATGTATGATACTCAGACAGTTAACACAATTCATGGATGTGTGTTACTCAGACCGTTATCGCAATTCATGGATGTATAATGCTGAGAGCGTTAATCACAATTCATGGATGTATGATACTCAGACGTTCTCACAATTCATGGATGTATAATGCTGAGAGCGTTAATTACAATTCATGGATGTATGATTCTCAGACCGTTAATACAATTCATGGATGTATGATACTCAGACCGTTAACACAATTCATGGATGTATGTTACTCAGACCGTTAACACAATTCATGGATGTGTGTTACTCAGACCGTTATCGCAATTCATGGATGTATAATGCTGAGAGCGTTAATTACAATTCATGGATGTATGATACTCAGACCGTTAATCACAATTCATGGATGTATAATGCTGAGAGCGTTAATTACAATTCATGGATGTATGATTTTCAGACCGTTAATACAATTCATGGATGTATGATACTCAGACCGTTAATACAATTCATGGATGTATGATACTCAGACCGTTAACACAATTCATGGATGTGTGTTACTCAGACCGTTATCGCAATTCATGGATGTATAATGCTGAGAGCGTTAATTACAATTCATGGATGTATGATTTTCAGACCGTTAATACAATTCATGGATGTATGATTCTCAGACCGTTAACACAATTCATGGATGTATGATTCTCAGACCGTTAACACAATTCATGGATGTATGTTACTCAGACCGTTATCACAATTCATGGATGTATAATGCTGAGAGCGTTAATCACAATTCATGGATGTATGATACTCAGACGTTATCACAATTCATGGATGTATAATGCTGAGAGCGTTAATTACAATTCATGGATGTATGATTTTCAGACCGTTAATACAATTCATGGATGTATGATACTCAGACCGTTAACACAATTCATGGATGTGTGTTACTCAGACCGTTATCACAATTCATGGATGTATAATGCTGAGAGCGTTAATTACAATTCATGGATGTATGATTCAGACCGTTAACACAATTCATGGATGTGTGTTACTCAGACCGTTATCGCAATTCATGGATGTATAATGCTGAGAGCGTTAATCACAATTCATGGATGTATGATTTTCAGACCGTTAATACAATTCATGGATGTATAATGCTGAGACCGTTAATTACAATTCATGGATGTATGATACTCAGACCGTTAATACAATTCATGGATGTATGATACTCAGACCGTTAATACAATTCATGGATGTATGATACTCAGACCGTTAACACAATTCATGGATGTATGTTACTCAGACCGTTAACACAATTCATGGATGTGTGTTACTCAGACCGTTATCGCAATTCATGGATGTATAATGCTGAGAGCGTTAATTACAATTCATGGATGTATGATTCTCAGACCGTTAATACAATTCATGGATGTATGATACTCAGACCGTTAACACAATTCATGGATGTGTGTTACTCAGACCGTTATCGCAATTCATGGATGTATAATGCTGAGAGCGTTAATTACAATTCATGGATGTATGATTTTCAGACCGTTAATACAATTCATGGATGTATGATACTCAGACCGTTAACACAATTCATGGATGTGTGTTACTCAGACCGTTATCGCAATTCATGGATGTATAATGCTGAGAGCGTTAATCACAATTCATGGATGTATGATACTCAGACCGTTATCACAATTCATGGATGTATAATGCTGAGAGCGTTAATTACAATTCATGGATGTATGATTTTCAGACCGTTAATACAATTCATGGATGTATGATACTCAGACCGTTAATACAATTCATGGATGTATGATACTCAGACCGTTAACACAATTCATGGATGTGTGTTACTCAGACCGTTATCACAATTCATGGATGTATAATGCTGAGAGCGTTAATTACAATTCATGGATGTATGATTTTCAGACCGTTAATACAATTCATGGATGTATGATACTCAGACCGTTAACACAATTCATGGATGTATGTTACTCAGACCGTTAACACAATTCATGGATGTGTGTTACTCAGACCGTTATCGCAATTCATGGATGTATAATGCTGAGAGCGTTAATCACAATTCATGGATGTATGATACTCAGACGTTATCACAATTCATGGATGTATAATGCTGAGAGCGTTAATACAATTCATGGATGTATGATTTTCAGACCGTTAATACAATTCATGGATGTATGATACTCAGACCGTTAATCACAATTCATGGATGTATGATACTCAGACCGTTAACACAATTCATGGATGTGTGTTACTCAGACCGTTATCGCAATTCATGGATGTATAATGCTGAGAGCGTTAATTACAATTCATGGATGTATGATTTTCAGACCGTTAATACAATTCATGGATGTATGATTCTCAGACCGTTAACACAATTCATGGATGTATGATTCTCAGACCGTTAACACAATTCATGGATGTGTGTTACTCAGACCGTTATCGCAATTCATGGATGTATAATGCTGAGAGCGTTAATCACAATTCATGGATGTATGATACTCAGACGTTAATCACAATTCATGGATGTATAATGCTGAGAGCGTTAATTACAATTCATGGATGTATGATTCTCAGACCGTTAATACAATTCATGGATGTATGATACTCAGACCGTTAACACAATTCATGGATGTGTGTTACTCAGACCGTTATCGCAATTCATGGATGTATAATGCTGAGAGCGTTAATACAATTCATGGATGTATGATTCTCAGACCGTTAACACAATTCATGGATGTATGTTACTCAGACCGTTAACACAATTCATGGATGTATAATGCTCAGACCGTTAATCACAATTCATGGATGTATGATTCTCAGACCGTTAATACAATTCATGGATGTATAATGCTGAGAGCGTTAATTACAATTCATGGATGTATGATTTTCAGACCGTTAATACAATTCATGGATGTATGATACTCAGACCGTTAATACAATTCATGGATGTATGATACTCAGACCGTTAACACAATTCATGGATGTGTGTACTCAGACCGTTAACACAATTCATGGATGTGTGTTACTCAGACCGTTATCACAATTCATGGATGTATAATGCTGAGAGCGTTAATACAATTCATGGATGTATGATGCTCAGACCGTTAATACAATTCATGGATGTATGATACTCAGACCGTTAACACAATTCATGGATGTATGTTACTCAGACCGTTATCGCAATTCATGGATGTATAATGCTGAGAGCGTTAATACAATTCATGGATGTATGATACTCAGACCGTTAATACAATTCATGGATGTATGATACTCAGACCGTTAACACAATTCATGGATGTGTGTTACTCAGACCGTTATCGCAATTCATGGATGTATAATGCTGAGAGCGTTAATCACAATTCATGGATGTATGATACTCAGACGTTATCACAATTCATGGATGTATAATGCTGAGAGCGTTAATTACAATTCATGGATGTATGATTTTCAGACCGTTAATACAATTCATGGATGTATGATACTCAGACCGTTAATACAATTCATGGATGTATGATACTCAGACCGTTAACACAATTCATGGATGTATGTTACTCAGACCGTTATCACAATTCATGGATGTATAATGCTGAGAGCGTTAATTACAATTCATGGATGTATGATTTTCAGACCGTTAATACAATTCATGGATGTATGATACTCAGACCGTTAACACAATTCATGGATGTATGTTACTCAGACCGTTAACACAATTCATGGATGTGTGTTACTCAGACCGTTATCGCAATTCATGGATGTATAATGCTGAGAGCGTTAATTACAATTCATGGATGTATGATTCTCAGACCGTTAACACAATTCATGGATGTATGATTCAGACCGTTAACACAATTCATGGATGTATAATGCTGAGACCGTTAATACAATTCATGGATGTATGATACTCAGACCGTTAACACAATTCATGGATGTATGATACTCAGACCGTTAACACAATTCATGGATGTATGATTCTCAGACCGTTAACACAATTCATGGATGTGTGTTACTCAGACCGTTATCACAATTCATGGATGTATAATGCTGAGAGCGTTAATCACAATTCATGGATGTATGATACTCAGACCGTTATCACAATTCATGGATGTATGATACTCAGACCGTTAATACAATTCATGGATGTATGATACTCAGACCGTTAATACAATTCATGGATGTATGATACTCAGACCGTTAACACAATTCATGGATGTATGACTCAGACCGTTAACACAATTCATGGATGTGTGTTACTCAGACCGTTATCGCAATTCATGGATGTATAATGCTGAGAGCGTTAATTACAATTCATGGATGTATGATTTTCAGACCGTTAATACAATTCATGGATGTATGATACTCAGACCGTTATCACAATTCATGGATGTATAATGCTGAGAGCGTTAATTACAATTCATGGATGTATGATTCTCAGACCGTTAATACAATTCATGGATGTATGATACTCAGACCGTTAACACAATTCATGGATGTATGTTACTCAGACCGTTAACACAATTCATGGATGTGTGTTACTCAGACCGTTATCGCAATTCATGGATGTATAATGCTGAGAGCGTTAATTACAATTCATGGATGTATGATTTTCAGACCGTTAATACAATTCATGGATGTATGATACTCAGACCGTTAACACAATTCATGGATGTGTGTTACTCAGACCGTTATCGCAATTCATGGATGTATAATGCTGAGAGCGTTAATTACAATTCATGGATGTATGATTTTCAGACCGTTAATACAATTCATGGATGTATGATACTCAGACCGTTAACACAATTCATGGATGTGTGTTCAGACCGTTATCGCAATTCATGGATGTATAATGCTGAGAGCGTTAATTACAATTCATGGATGTATGATTTTCAGACCGTTAATACAATTCATGGATGTATGATACTCAGACCGTTAACACAATTCATGGATGTGTGTTACTCAGACCGTTATCGCAATTCATGGATGTAATGCTGAGAGCGTTAATCACAATTCATGGATGTATGATACTCAGACGTTATCACAATTCATGGATGTATAATGCTGAGAGCGTTAATTACAATTCATGGATGTATGATTTTCAGACCGTTAATACAATTCATGGATGTATGATACTCAGACCGTTAATACAATTCATGGATGTATGATACTCAGACCGTTAACACAATTCATGGATGTGTGTTACTCAGACCGTTATCGCAATTCATGGATGTATAATGCTGAGAGCGTTAATTACAATTCATGGATGTATGATTTTCAGACCGTTAATACAATTCATGGATGTATGATTCTCAGACCGTTAACACAATTCATGGATGTATGATTCTCAGACCGTTAACACAATTCATGGATGTATGATTCTCAGACCGTTAACACAATTCATGGATGTGTGCTGAGAGCGTTAATCACAATTCATGGATGTATGATTCTCAGACCGTTAACACAATTCATGGATGTATGATTCTCAGACCGTTAACACAATTCATGGATGTGTGACTCAGACCGTTATCACAATTCATGGATGTATAATGCTGAGAGCGTTAATACAATTCATGGATGTATGATTTTCAGACCGTTAATACAATTCATGGATGTATGATACTCAGACCGTTAACACAATTCATGGATGTATGTTACTCAGACCGTTAACACAATTCATGGATGTGTGTTACTCAGACCGTTATCGCAATTCATGGATGTATAATGCTGAGAGCGTTAATTACAATTCATGGATGTATGATTCTCAGACCGTTAATACAATTCATGGATGTATGATTCTCAGACCGTTAACACAATTCATGGATGTGTGTTACTCAGACCGTTATCGCAATTCATGGATGTATAATGCTGAGAGCGTTAATCACAATTCATGGATGTATGATACTCAGACCGTTAACACAATTCATGGATGTGTGTTACTCAGACCGTTATCGCAATTCATGGATGTATAATGCTGAGAGCGTTAATACAATTCATGGATGTATGATTTTCAGACCGTTAATACAATTCATGGATGTATGATACTCAGACCGTTATCACAATTCATGGATGTATAATGCTGAGAGCGTTAATTACAATTCATGGATGTATGATTTTCAGACCGTTAATACAATTCATGGATGTATGATACTCAGACCGTTAATACAATTCATGGATGTATGATACTCAGACCGTTAACACAATTCATGGATGTGTGTTACTCAGACCGTTATCGCAATTCATGGATGTATATGCTGAGAGCGTTAATTACAATTCATGGATGTATGATTTTCAGACCGTTAATACAATTCATGGATGTATGATTCTCAGACCGTTAACACAATTCATGGATGTATGATTACTCAGACCGTTAACACAATTCATGGATGTGTGTTACTCAGACCGTTATCACAATTCATGGATGTATAATGCTGAGAGCGTTAATCACAATTCATGGATGTATGATACTCAGACCGTTATCACAATTCATGGATGTATAATGCTGAGAGCGTTAATACAATTCATGGATGTATGATTTTCAGACCGTTAATACAATTCATGGATGTATGATACTCAGACCGTTAACACAATTCATGGATGTGTGTTACTCAGACCGTTATCGCAATTCATGGATGTATAATGCTGAGAGCGTTAATTACAATTCATGGATGTATGATTCTCAGACCGTTAACACAATTCATGGATGTGTGTACTCAGACCGTTATCGCAATTCATGGATGTATAATGCTGAGAGCGTTAATCACAATTCATGGATGTATGATTTTCAGACCGTTAATACAATTCATGGATGTATAATGCTGAGAGCGTTAATTACAATTCATGGATGTATGATTTTCAGACCGTTAATACAATTCATGGATGTATGATACTCAGACCGTTAATACAATTCATGGATGTATGATACTCAGACCGTTAACACAATTCATGGATGTATGTTACTCAGACCGTTAACACAATTCATGGATGTATGTTACTCAGACCGTTAATCACAATTCATGGATGTATGATGCTGAGACCGTTAATACAATTCATGGATGTATGATTCTCAGACCGTTAATACAATTCATGGATGTATGATACTCAGACCGTTAACACAATTCATGGATGTGTGTTACTCAGACCGTTATCGCAATTCATGGATGTATAATGCTGAGAGCGTTAATTACAATTCATGGATGTATGATTTTCAGACCGTTAATACAATTCATGGATGTATGATACTCAGACCGTTAATACAATTCATGGATGTGTGTTACTCAGACCGTTATCACAATTCATGGATGTATAATGCTGAGAGCGTTAATCACAATTCATGGATGTATGATACTCAGACCGTTATCACAATTCATGGATGTATAATGCTGAGAGCGTTAATTACAATTCATGGATGTATGATTTTCAGACCGTTAATACAATTCATGGATGTATGATACTCAGACCGTTAATACAATTCATGGATGTATGATACTCAGACCGTTAACACAATTCATGGATGTGTGTTACTCAGACCGTTATCGCAATTCATGGATGTATAATGCTGAGAGCGTTAATTACAATTCATGGATGTATGATTTTCAGACCGTTAATACAATTCATGGATGTATGATACTCAGACCGTTAATACAATTCATGGATGTATGATACTCAGACCGTTAACACAATTCATGGATGTATGTTACTCAGACCGTTATCACAATTCATGGATGTATAATGCTGAGAGCGTTAATTACAATTCATGGATGTATGATTCTCAGACCGTTAACACAATTCATGGATGTATGATTCTCAGACCGTTAACACAATTCATGGATGTATAATGCTGAGAGCGTTAATTACAATTCATGGATGTATGATTCTCAGACCGTTAATACAATTCATGGATGTATGATACTCAGACCGTTAACACAATTCATGGATGTATGATACTCAGACCGTTAACACAATTCATGGATGTGTGTTACTCAGACCGTTATCACAATTCATGGATGTATAATGCTGAGAGCGTTAATCACAATTCATGGATGTATGATACTCAGACGTTAATCACAATTCATGGATGTATGATACTCAGACCGTTAATACAATTCATGGATGTATGATACTCAGACCGTTAATACAATTCATGGATGTATGATACTCAGACCGTTAACACAATTCATGGATGTATGATACTCAGACCGTTAACACAATTCATGGATGTGTGTTACTCAGACCGTTATCGCAATTCATGGATGTATAATGCTGAGAGCGTTAATTACAATTCATGGATGTATGATTTTCAGACCGTTAATACAATTCATGGATGTATGATACTCAGACCGTTATCACAATTCATGGATGTATAATGCTGAGAGCGTTAATTACAATTCATGGATGTATGATTTCAGACCGTTAATACAATTCATGGATGTATGATACTCAGACCGTTAACACAATTCATGGATGTATGATACTCAGACCGTTAACACAATTCATGGATGTGTGTTACTCAGACCGTTATCGCAATTCATGGATGTATAATGCTGAGAGCGTTAATACAATTCATGGATGTATGATTCTCAGACCGTTAATACAATTCATGGATGTATGATACTCAGACCGTTAACACAATTCATGGATGTGTGTTACTCAGACCGTTATCACAATTCATGGATGTATAATGCTGAGAGCGTTAATTACAATTCATGGATGTATGATTTTCAGACCGTTAATACAATTCATGGATGTATGATACTCAGACCGTTAACACAATTCATGGATGTATGACTCAGACCGTTATCACAATTCATGGATGTATAATGCTGAGAGCGTTAATTACAATTCATGGATGTATGATTTTCAGACCGTTAATACAATTCATGGATGTATGATACTCAGACCGTTAATACAATTCATGGATGTGTGTTACTCAGACCGTTATCGCAATTCATGGATGTATAATGCTGAGAGCGTTAATCACAATTCATGGATGTATGATACTCAGACCGTTAATCACAATTCATGGATGTATAATGCTGAGAGCGTTAATTACAATTCATGGATGTATGATACTCAGACCGTTAATACAATTCATGGATGTATGATACTCAGACCGTTAATACAATTCATGGATGTATGATACTCAGACCGTTAACACAATTCATGGATGTATGTTACTCAGACCGTTATACAATTCATGGATGTATAATGCTGAGAGCGTTAATACAATTCATGGATGTATGATTTTCAGACCGTTAATACAATTCATGGATGTATGATTCTCAGACCGTTAACACAATTCATGGATGTATGATTCTCAGACCGTTAACACAATTCATGGATGTATGATTCTCAGACCGTTAACACAATTCATGGATGTATGATGCTCAGACCGTTAATACAATTCATGGATGTATGATTCTCAGACCGTTAATACAATTCATGGATGTATGATTCTCAGACCGTTAACACAATTCATGGATGTGTGTTACTCAGACCGTTATCACAATTCATGGATGTATAATGCTGAGAGCGTTAATTACAATTCATGGATGTATGATTCTCAGACCGTTAATACAATTCATGGATGTATGATACTCAGACCGTTAACACAATTCATGGATGTATGTTACTCAGACCGTTAACACAATTCATGGATGTGTGTTACTCAGACCGTTATCACAATTCATGGATGTATAATGCTGAGAGCGTTAATTACAATTCATGGATGTATGATTCTCAGACCGTTAACACAATTCATGGATGTATGATGCTCAGACCGTTAACACAATTCATGGATGTATGTTACTCAGACCGTTAATCACAATTCATGGATGTATGATGCTCAGACCGTTAATACAATTCATGGATGTATGATACTCAGACCGTTAACACAATTCATGGATGTGTGTACTCAGACCGTTATCACAATTCATGGATGTATAATGCTGAGAGCGTTAATTACAATTCATGGATGTATGATTCTCAGACCGTTAATACAATTCATGGATGTATGATACTCAGACCGTTATCACAATTCATGGATGTATAATGCTGAGAGCGTTAATTACAATTCATGGATGTATGATTCTCAGACCGTTAATACAATTCATGGATGTATGATGCTCAGACCGTTAACACAATTCATGGATGTATGATACTCAGACCGTTAACACAATTCATGGATGTATGTTACTCAGACCGTTATCACAATTCATGGATGTATAATGCTGAGAGCGTTAATACAATTCATGGATGTATGATTCTCAGACCGTTAATACAATTCATGGATGTATGATACTCAGACCGTTAACACAATTCATGGATGTGTGTTACTCAGACCGTTATCACAATTCATGGATGTATAATGCTGAGAGCGTTAATTACAATTCATGGATGTATGATTTTCAGACCGTTAATACAATTCATGGATGTATGATACTCAGACCGTTAACACAATTCATGGATGTGTGTTACTCAGACCGTTATCGCAATTCATGGATGTATAATGCTGAGAGCGTTAATCACAATTCATGGATGTATGATACTCAGACGTTATCACAATTCATGGATGTATAATGCTGAGAGCGTTAATTACAATTCATGGATGTATGATTTTCAGACCGTTAATACAATTCATGGATGTATGATACTCAGACCGTTAATACAATTCATGGATGTATGATACTCAGACCGTTAACACAATTCATGGATGTGTGTTACTCAGACCGTTATCACAATTCATGGATGTATAATGCTGAGAGCGTTAATTACAATTCATGGATGTATGATTCTCAGACCGTTAATACAATTCATGGATGTATGATTCTCAGACCGTTAACACAATTCATGGATGTATGATTCTCAGACCGTTAACACAATTCATGGATGTATGATTCTCAGACCGTTAACACAATTCATGGATGTATAATGCTGAGAGCGTTAATCACAATTCATGGATGTATGATTCTCAGACCGTTAACACAATTCATGGATGTATGATTCTCAGACCGTTAACACAATTCATGGATGTATGTTACTCAGACCGTTATCACAATTCATGGATGTATAATGCTGAGAGCGTTAATACAATTCATGGATGTATGATTTTCAGACCGTTAATACAATTCATGGATGTATGATACTCAGACCGTTAATACAATTCATGGATGTATGATACTCAGACCGTTAACACAATTCATGGATGTGTGTTACTCAGACCGTTATCGCAATTCATGGATGTATAATGCTGAGAGCGTTAATCACAATTCATGGATGTATGATACTCAGACGTTATCACAATTCATGGATGTATAATGCTGAGAGCGTTAATTACAATTCATGGATGTATGATTCTCAGACCGTTAATACAATTCATGGATGTATGATACTCAGACCGTTAACACAATTCATGGATGTATGATCTCAGACCGTTAACACAATTCATGGATGTGTGTTACTCAGACCGTTATCGCAATTCATGGATGTATAATGCTGAGAGCGTTAATTACAATTCATGGATGTATGATACTCAGACGTTATCACAATTCATGGATGTATAATGCTGAGAGCGTTAATTACAATTCATGGATGTATGATTTTCAGACCGTTAATACAATTCATGGATGTATGATACTCAGACCGTTAATACAATTCATGGATGTATGATACTCAGACCGTTAACACAATTCATGGATGTGTGTTACTCAGACCGTTATCGCAATTCATGGATGTATAATGCTGAGAGCGTTAATTACAATTCATGGATGTATGATTTTCAGACCGTTAATACAATTCATGGATGTATGATACTCAGACCGTTAACACAATTCATGGATGTATGTTACTCAGACCGTTAACACAATTCATGGATGTGTGTACTCAGACCGTTATCACAATTCATGGATGTATAATGCTGAGAGCGTTAATTACAATTCATGGATGTATGATTCTCAGACCGTTAACACAATTCATGGATGTATGATTCTCAGACCGTTAACACAATTCATGGATGTATGTTACTCAGACCGTTATCAATTCATGGATGTAATGCTGAGAGCGTTAATCAATTCATGGATGTATGATACTCAGACCGTTAACACAATTCATGGATGTATGTTACTCAGACCGTTATCACAATTCATGGATGTATAATGCTGAGAGCGTTAATTACAATTCATGGATGTATGATTTTCAGACCGTTAATACAATTCATGGATGTATGATACTCAGACCGTTAACACAATTCATGGATGTATAATGCTGAGAGCGTTAATTACAATTCATGGATGTATGATTCTCAGACCGTTAATACAATTCATGGATGTATGATACTCAGACCGTTAACACAATTCATGGATGTATGTTACTCAGACCGTTAACACAATTCATGGATGTATGTTACTCAGACCGTTATCACAATTCATGGATGTATAATGCTGAGAGCGTTAATTACAATTCATGGATGTATGATTTTCAGACCGTTAATACAATTCATGGATGTATGATACTCAGACCGTTAACACAATTCATGGATGTGTGTTACTCAGACCGTTATCACAATTCATGGATGTATAATGCTGAGAGCGTTAATTACAATTCATGGATGTATGATTCTCAGACCGTTAATACAATTCATGGATGTATGATACTCAGACCGTTAACACAATTCATGGATGTATGATACTCAGACCGTTAACACAATTCATGGATGTGTGTTACTCAGACCGTTATCACAATTCATGGATGTATAATGCTGAGAGCGTTAATTACAATTCATGGATGTATGATTTCAGACCGTTAATACAATTCATGGATGTATGATACTCAGACCGTTAATACAATTCATGGATGTATGTTACTCAGACCGTTATCACAATTCATGGATGTATAATGCTGAGAGCGTTAATCACAATTCATGGATGTATGATACTCAGACCGTTAATCACAATTCATGGATGTATAATGCTGAGAGCGTTAATTACAATTCATGGATGTATGATTTTCAGACCGTTAATACAATTCATGGATGTATGATACTCAGACCGTTAATACAATTCATGGATGTATGATACTCAGACCGTTAACACAATTCATGGATGTGTGTTACTCAGACCGTTATCACAATTCATGGATGTATAATGCTGAGAGCGTTAATTACAATTCATGGATGTATGATTTTCAGACCGTTAATACAATTCATGGATGTATGATTCTCAGACCGTTAATACAATTCATGGATGTATGATACTCAGACCGTTAACACAATTCATGGATGTATGATACTCAGACCGTTAACACAATTCATGGATGTATAATGCTGAGAGCGTTAATCACAATTCATGGATGTATGATTCTCAGACCGTTAATACAATTCATGGATGTATGATTCTCAGACCGTTAATACAATTCATGGATGTATGACTCAGACCGTTATCACAATTCATGGATGTATAATGCTGAGAGCGTTAATACAATTCATGGATGTATGATTCTCAGACCGTTAATACAATTCATGGATGTATGATACTCAGACCGTTAATACAATTCATGGATGTATGATACTCAGACCGTTAACACAATTCATGGATGTATGTTACTCAGACCGTTATCGCAATTCATGGATGTATGATGCTCAGAGCGTTAATCACAATTCATGGATGTATGATACTCAGACGTTATCACAATTCATGGATGTATAATGCTGAGAGCGTTAATTACAATTCATGGATGTATGATTCTCAGACCGTTAATACAATTCATGGATGTATGATACTCAGACCGTTAATACAATTCATGGATGTATGATACTCAGACCGTTAACACAATTCATGGATGTGTGTTACTCAGACCGTTATCGCAATTCATGGATGTATAATGCTGAGAGCGTTAATTACAATTCATGGATGTATGATACTCAGACCGTTAATCACAATTCATGGATGTATGATGCTCAGACCGTTAATACAATTCATGGATGTATGATTCTCAGACCGTTAATACAATTCATGGATGTATGATACTCAGACCGTTAATACAATTCATGGATGTATGATACTCAGACCGTTAACACAATTCATGGATGTATGTTACTCAGACCGTTATCACAATTCATGGATGTATAATGCTGAGAGCGTTAATTACAATTCATGGATGTATGATTTTCAGACCGTTAATACAATTCATGGATGTATGATACTCAGACCGTTAACACAATTCATGGATGTATGATACTCAGACCGTTAACACAATTCATGGATGTGTGTTACTCAGACCGTTATCGCAATTCATGGATGTATAATGCTGAGAGCGTTAATTACAATTCATGGATGTATGATTCTCAGACCGTTAACACAATTCATGGATGTATGATACTCAGACCGTTAACACAATTCATGGATGTATGATACTCAGACCGTTAATACAATTCATGGATGTATGATGCTCAGAGCGTTAACACAATTCATGGATGTATGATACTCAGACCGTTAACACAATTCATGGATGTGTGTTACTCAGACCGTTATCGCAATTCATGGATGTATAATGCTGAGAGCGTTAATTACAATTCATGGATGTATGATTCTCAGACCGTTAATACAATTCATGGATGTATGATACTCAGACCGTTATCACAATTCATGGATGTATAATGCTGAGAGCGTTAATTACAATTCATGGATGTATGATTCTCAGACCGTTAATACAATTCATGGATGTATGATACTCAGACCGTTAATACAATTCATGGATGTATGATACTCAGACCGTTAACACAATTCATGGATGTATGTTACTCAGACCGTTATCGCAATTCATGGATGTATGATGCTGAGAGCGTTAATACAATTCATGGATGTATGATACTCAGACCGTTAATACAATTCATGGATGTATGATACTCAGACCGTTAACACAATTCATGGATGTATGTTACTCAGACCGTTATCACAATTCATGGATGTATGATGCTCAGAGCGTTAATACAATTCATGGATGTATGATGCTCAGACCGTTAATACAATTCATGGATGTATGATACTCAGACCGTTAATACAATTCATGGATGTATGATACTCAGACCGTTAATACAATTCATGGATGTATGATACTCAGACCGTTAACACAATTCATGGATGTATGATACTCAGACCGTTAATACAATTCATGGATGTATGATGCTCAGACCGTTAATACAATTCATGGATGTATGATACTCAGACCGTTAATACAATTCATGGATGTATGATTACTCAGACCGTTAATACAATTCATGGATGTATGATACTCAGACCGTTAACACAATTCATGGATGTATGATACTCAGACCGTTATCACAATTCATGGATGTATAATGCTGAGAGCGTTAATCACAATTCATGGATGTATGATACTCAGACCGTTAATACAATTCATGGATGTATGATACTCAGACGTTAATACAATTCATGGATGTATGATTCTCAGACCGTTAATACAATTCATGGATGTATGACTCAGACCGTTAACACAATTCATGGATGTATGTTACTCAGACCGTTAACACAATTCATGGATGTATAATGCTGAGAGCGTTAATTACAATTCATGGATGTATAATGCTGAGAGCGTTAATTACAATTCATGGATGTATGATTCTCAGACCGTTAATACAATTCATGGATGTATGATTCTCAGACCGTTAATACAATTCATGGATGTATGATACTCAGACCGTTAACAATTCATGGATGTATAATGCTGAGAGCGTTAATTACAATTCATGGATGTATGATTTTCAGACCGTTAATACAATTCATGGATGTATGATACTCAGACCGTTAATACAATTCATGGATGTATGATACTCAGACCGTTAACACAATTCATGGATGTGTGTTACTCAGACCGTTATCGCAATTCATGGATGTATAATGCTGAGAGCGTTAATCACAATTCATGGATGTATGATACTCAGACGTTATCACAATTCATGGATGTATAATGCTGAGAGCGTTAATTACAATTCATGGATGTATGATTCTCAGACCGTTAATACAATTCATGGATGTATGATACTCAGACCGTTAATACAATTCATGGATGTATGATACTCAGACCGTTAACACAATTCATGGATGTGTGTTACTCAGACCGTTATCACAATTCATGGATGTATAATGCTGAGAGCGTTAATTACAATTCATGGATGTATGATTTTCAGACCGTTAATACAATTCATGGATGTATGATTTTCAGACCGTTAATACAATTCATGGATGTATGATACTCAGACCGTTAACACAATTCATGGATGTATAATGCTGAGAGCGTTAATTACAATTCATGGATGTATGATTTTCAGACCGTTAATACAATTCATGGATGTATGATACTCAGACCGTTAATACAATTCATGGATGTATGATACTCAGACCGTTAACACAATTCATGGATGTGTGTTACTCAGACCGTTATCACAATTCATGGATGTATAATGCTGAGAGCGTTAATCACAATTCATGGATGTATGATACTCAGACCGTTATCACAATTCATGGATGTATAATGCTGAGAGCGTTAATTACAATTCATGGATGTATGATTTTCAGACCGTTAATACAATTCATGGATGTATGATACTCAGACCGTTAACAATTCATGGATGTATGATACTCAGACCGTTAACACAATTCATGGATGTATGTTACTCAGACCGTTAACACAATTCATGGATGTATGTTACTCAGACCGTTATCACAATTCATGGATGTATAATGCTGAGAGCGTTAATTACAATTCATGGATGTATGATTTTCAGACCGTTAATACAATTCATGGATGTATGATACTCAGACCGTTAACACAATTCATGGATGTATGATACTCAGACCGTTAACACAATTCATGGATGTGTGTTACTCAGACCGTTATCACAATTCATGGATGTATAATGCTGAGAGCGTTAACACAATTCATGGATGTATGATACTCAGACCGTTATCACAATTCATGGATGTATAATGCTGAGAGCGTTAATACAATTCATGGATGTATGATTCTCAGACCGTTAATACAATTCATGGATGTATGATACTCAGACCGTTATCACAATTCATGGATGTATAATGCTGAGAGCGTTAATTACAATTCATGGATGTATGATTTTCAGACCGTTAATACAATTCATGGATGTATGATACTCAGACCGTTAATACAATTCATGGATGTATGATACTCAGACCGTTAACACAATTCATGGATGTGTGTTACTCAGACCGTTATCGCAATTCATGGATGTATGATGCTGAGAGCGTTAATCACAATTCATGGATGTATGATACTCAGACGTTATCACAATTCATGGATGTATAATGCTGAGAGCGTTAATTACAATTCATGGATGTATGATTTTCAGACCGTTAATACAATTCATGGATGTATGATACTCAGACCGTTAATACAATTCATGGATGTATGATACTCAGACCGTTAACACAATTCATGGATGTGTGTTACTCAGACCGTTATCGCAATTCATGGATGTATAATGCTGAGAGCGTTAATTACAATTCATGGATGTATGATTTTCAGACCGTTAATACAATTCATGGATGTATGATTCTCAGACCGTTAATACAATTCATGGATGTATGATTCTCAGACCGTTAACACAATTCATGGATGTATGTTACTCAGACCGTTATCACAATTCATGGATGTATAATGCTGAGAGCGTTAATCACAATTCATGGATGTATGATACTCAGACGTTATCACAATTCATGGATGTATAATGCTGAGAGCGTTAATTACAATTCATGGATGTATGATTCTCAGACCGTTAATACAATTCATGGATGTATGATACTCAGACCGTTAACACAATTCATGGATGTATGTTACTCAGACCGTTAACACAATTCATGGATGTGTAATGCTGAGAGCGTTAATTACAATTCATGGATGTATAATGCTGAGAGCGTTAATACAATTCATGGATGTATGATTTTCAGACCGTTAATACAATTCATGGATGTATGATTCTCAGACCGTTAATACAATTCATGGATGTATGATACTCAGACCGTTAACACAATTCATGGATGTATAATGCTGAGAGCGTTAATTACAATTCATGGATGTATGATTTTCAGACCGTTAATACAATTCATGGATGTATGATACTCAGACCGTTAATCACAATTCATGGATGTATGATACTCAGACCGTTAACACAATTCATGGATGTGTGTTACTCAGACCGTTATCGCAATTCATGGATGTATAATGCTGAGAGCGTTAATCACAATTCATGGATGTATGATACTCAGACGTTATCACAATTCATGGATGTATAATGCTGAGAGCGTTAATTACAATTCATGGATGTATGATTTTCAGACCGTTAATACAATTCATGGATGTATGATACTCAGACCGTTAATACAATTCATGGATGTATGATACTCAGACCGTTAACACAATTCATGGATGTGTGTTACTCAGACCGTTATCGCAATTCATGGATGTATAATGCTGAGAGCGTTAATTACAATTCATGGATGTATGATTTTCAGACCGTTAATACAATTCATGGATGTATGATACTCAGACCGTTAATACAATTCATGGATGTATGATACTCAGACCGTTAACACAATTCATGGATGTATAATGCTGAGAGCGTTAATTACAATTCATGGATGTATGATTTTCAGACCGTTAATACAATTCATGGATGTATGATACTCAGACCGTTAATACAATTCATGGATGTATGATACTCAGACCGTTAACACAATTCATGGATGTGTGTTACTCAGACCGTTATCGCAATTCATGGATGTATAATGCTGAGAGCGTTAATCACAATTCATGGATGTATGATACTCAGACCGTTAATCACAATTCATGGATGTATACTGAGAGCGTTAATTACAATTCATGGATGTATGATTTCAGACCGTTAATACAATTCATGGATGTATGATACTCAGACCGTTAATACAATTCATGGATGTATGATACTCAGACCGTTAACACAATTCATGGATGTATGTACTCAGACCGTTAACACAATTCATGGATGTGTGTTACTCAGACCGTTATCGCAATTCATGGATGTATAATGCTGAGAGCGTTAATTACAATTCATGGATGTATGATTCTCAGACCGTTAATACAATTCATGGATGTATGATACTCAGACCGTTATCACAATTCATGGATGTATAATGCTGAGAGCGTTAATTACAATTCATGGATGTATGATTTTCAGACCGTTAATACAATTCATGGATGTATGATACTCAGACCGTTAATACAATTCATGGATGTATGATACTCAGACCGTTAACACAATTCATGGATGTGTGTTACTCAGACCGTTATCGCAATTCATGGATGTATAATGCTGAGAGCGTTAATCACAATTCATGGATGTATGATACTCAGACCGTTATCACAATTCATGGATGTATAATGCTGAGAGCGTTAATTACAATTCATGGATGTATGATTTTCAGACCGTTAATACAATTCATGGATGTATGATACTCAGACCGTTAATACAATTCATGGATGTATGATACTCAGACCGTTAACACAATTCATGGATGTGTGTTACTCAGACCGTTATCGCAATTCATGGATGTATAATGCTGAGAGCGTTAATTACAATTCATGGATGTATGATTTTCAGACCGTTAATACAATTCATGGATGTATGATACTCAGACCGTTAACACAATTCATGGATGTGTGTTACTCAGACCGTTAACACAATTCATGGATGTAATGCTGAGAGCGTTAATCACAATTCATGGATGTATGATACTCAGACGTTAATCACAATTCATGGATGTATAATGCTGAGAGCGTTAATTACAATTCATGGATGTATGATTTTCAGACCGTTAATACAATTCATGGATGTATGATACTCAGACCGTTAACACAATTCATGGATGTGTGTACTCAGACCGTTATCACAATTCATGGATGTATAATGCTGAGAGCGTTAATTACAATTCATGGATGTATGATGCTCAGACCGTTAATACAATTCATGGATGTATGATACTCAGACCGTTAACACAATTCATGGATGTATGATACTCAGACCGTTAATACAATTCATGGATGTATGATACTCAGACCGTTAATACAATTCATGGATGTATGATACTCAGACCGTTAACACAATTCATGGATGTATGATGCTCAGAGCGTTAATTACAATTCATGGATGTATGATTCTCAGACCGTTAATACAATTCATGGATGTATGATACTCAGACCGTTAATACAATTCATGGATGTATGATACTCAGACCGTTAACAATTCATGGATGTATGTTACTCAGACCGTTAACACAATTCATGGATGTGTGTTACTCAGACCGTTATCACAATTCATGGATGTATAATGCTGAGAGCGTTAATTACAATTCATGGATGTATGATTTTCAGACCGTTAATACAATTCATGGATGTATGATACTCAGACCGTTAATACAATTCATGGATGTATGATACTCAGACCGTTAACACAATTCATGGATGTGTGTTACTCAGACCGTTATCACAATTCATGGATGTATAATGCTGAGAGCGTTAATCACAATTCATGGATGTATGATACTCAGACGTTATCACAATTCATGGATGTATAATGCTGAGAGCGTTAATTACAATTCATGGATGTATGATTTTCAGACCGTTAATACAATTCATGGATGTATGATACTCAGACCGTTATCACAATTCATGGATGTATAATGCTGAGAGCGTTAATTACAATTCATGGATGTATGATTTTCAGACCGTTAATACAATTCATGGATGTATGATACTCAGACCGTTAATACAATTCATGGATGTATGATACTCAGACCGTTAACACAATTCATGGATGTGTGTTACTCAGACCGTTATCGCAATTCATGGATGTATAATGCTGAGAGCGTTAATCACAATTCATGGATGTATGATACTCAGACCGTTATCACAATTCATGGATGTATAATGCTGAGAGCGTTAATTACAATTCATGGATGTATGATTTTCAGACCGTTAATACAATTCATGGATGTATGATACTCAGACCGTTAATACAATTCATGGATGTATGATACTCAGACCGTTAACACAATTCATGGATGTGTGTTACTCAGACCGTTATCGCAATTCATGGATGTATAATGCTGAGAGCGTTAATACAATTCATGGATGTATGATTTTCAGACCGTTAATACAATTCATGGATGTATGATGCTCAGACCGTTAATACAATTCATGGATGTATGATTCTCAGACCGTTAACACAATTCATGGATGTATGTTACTCAGACCGTTATCACAATTCATGGATGTATGATGCTGAGAGCGTTAATCACAATTCATGGATGTATGATACTCAGACCGTTATCACAATTCATGGATGTATAATGCTGAGAGCGTTAATTACAATTCATGGATGTATGATTCTCAGACCGTTAATACAATTCATGGATGTATGATACTCAGACCGTTAACACAATTCATGGATGTGTGTTACTCAGACCGTTAACACAATTCATGGATGTGTGATGCTCAGACCGTTAATACAATTCATGGATGTATAATGCTGAGAGCGTTAATTACAATTCATGGATGTATGATTCTCAGACCGTTAATACAATTCATGGATGTATGATTCTCAGACCGTTAATACAATTCATGGATGTATGATACTCAGACCGTTAACACAATTCATGGATGTATAATGCTGAGAGCGTTAATCAATTCATGGATGTATGATTTTCAGACCGTTAATACAATTCATGGATGTATGATACTCAGACCGTTAATACAATTCATGGATGTATGATACTCAGACCGTTAACACAATTCATGGATGTGTGTTACTCAGACCGTTATCGCAATTCATGGATGTATAATGCTGAGAGCGTTAATCACAATTCATGGATGTATGATACTCAGACCGTTAACACAATTCATGGATGTATAATGCTGAGACCGTTAATTACAATTCATGGATGTATGATTTTCAGACCGTTAATACAATTCATGGATGTATGATACTCAGACCGTTAATACAATTCATGGATGTATGATACTCAGACCGTTAACACAATTCATGGATGTGTGTTACTCAGACCGTTATCGCAATTCATGGATGTATAATGCTGAGAGCGTTAATTACAATTCATGGATGTATGATTTTCAGACCGTTAATACAATTCATGGATGTATGATACTCAGACCGTTAATACAATTCATGGATGTATGATACTCAGACCGTTAACACAATTCATGGATGTATAATGCTGAGAGCGTTAATCACAATTCATGGATGTATGATTTTCAGACCGTTAATACAATTCATGGATGTATGATACTCAGACCGTTAATACAATTCATGGATGTATGATACTCAGACCGTTAACACAATTCATGGATGTGTGTACTCAGACCGTTATACAATTCATGGATGTATATGCTGAGAGCGTTAATCACAATTCATGGATGTATGATACTCAGACGTTATCACAATTCATGGATGTATAATGCTGAGAGCGTTAATTACAATTCATGGATGTATGATTTTCAGACCGTTAATACAATTCATGGATGTATGATACTCAGACCGTTAATACAATTCATGGATGTATGATACTCAGACCGTTAACACAATTCATGGATGTATGATACTCAGACCGTTAACACAATTCATGGATGTGTAACTCAGACCGTTATCACAATTCATGGATGTATAATGCTGAGAGCGTTAATTACAATTCATGGATGTATGATTCTCAGACCGTTAATACAATTCATGGATGTATGATACTCAGACCGTTATCGCAATTCATGGATGTATAATGCTGAGAGCGTTAATTACAATTCATGGATGTATGATTTTCAGACCGTTAATACAATTCATGGATGTATGATACTCAGACCGTTAATACAATTCATGGATGTATGATACTCAGACCGTTAACACAATTCATGGATGTGTGTTACTCAGACCGTTATCGCAATTCATGGATGTATAATGCTGAGAGCGTTAATCACAATTCATGGATGTATGATACTCAGACGTTCTCACAATTCATGGATGTATAATGCTGAGAGCGTTAATTACAATTCATGGATGTATGATTTTCAGACCGTTAATACAATTCATGGATGTATGATACTCAGACCGTTAATACAATTCATGGATGTATGATACTCAGACCGTTAACACAATTCATGGATGTGTGTTACTCAGACCGTTATCGCAATTCATGGATGTATAATGCTGAGAGCGTTAATTACAATTCATGGATGTATGATTTTCAGACCGTTAATACAATTCATGGATGTATGATTCTCAGACCGTTAACACAATTCATGGATGTGTGTACTCAGACCGTTATCGCAATTCATGGATGTATAATGCTGAGAGCGTTAATCACAATTCATGGATGTATGATACTCAGACGTTAATCACAATTCATGGATGTATGATACTCAGAGCGTTAATACAATTCATGGATGTATGATTCAGACCGTTAATACAATTCATGGATGTATGATACTCAGACCGTTAACACAATTCATGGATGTATGTTACTCAGACCGTTATCACAATTCATGGATGTATGATGCTCAGACCGTTAATACAATTCATGGATGTATGATGCTCAGAGCGTTAATCACAATTCATGGATGTATGATACTCAGACGTTATCACAATTCATGGATGTATGATACTCAGACCGTTAATACAATTCATGGATGTATGATACTCAGACCGTTAATACAATTCATGGATGTATGATACTCAGACCGTTAACACAATTCATGGATGTGTGCTGAGAGCGTTAATTACAATTCATGGATGTATGATTCAGACCGTTAATACAATTCATGGATGTATGATACTCAGACCGTTAATACAATTCATGGATGTATGATTCTCAGACCGTTAACACAATTCATGGATGTGTGTTACTCAGACCGTTATCGCAATTCATGGATGTATAATGCTGAGAGCGTTAATCACAATTCATGGATGTATGATACTCAGACGTTCTCACAATTCATGGATGTATGATACTCAGACCGTTAATACAATTCATGGATGTATGATACTCAGACCGTTAATACAATTCATGGATGTATGATACTCAGACCGTTAATACAATTCATGGATGTATGATACTCAGACCGTTAACACAATTCATGGATGTGTGTTACTCAGACCGTTATCGCAATTCATGGATGTATAATGCTGAGAGCGTTAATTACAATTCATGGATGTATGATTTTCAGACCGTTAATACAATTCATGGATGTATGATTTTCAGACCGTTAATACAATTCATGGATGTATGATTCTCAGACCGTTAATACAATTCATGGATGTATGATACTCAGACCGTTAATACAATTCATGGATGTATGATACTCAGACGTTAACACAATTCATGGATGTATGTTACTCAGACCGTTATCACAATTCATGGATGTATGATGCTCAGAGCGTTAACACAATTCATGGATGTATGATACTCAGACCGTTATCACAATTCATGGATGTATAATGCTGAGAGCGTTAATTACAATTCATGGATGTATGATTTTCAGACCGTTAATACAATTCATGGATGTATGATACTCAGACCGTTAATACAATTCATGGATGTATGATACTCAGACCGTTAACACAATTCATGGATGTGTGTTACTCAGACCGTTATCGCAATTCATGGATGTATAATGCTGAGAGCGTTAATTACAATTCATGGATGTATGATTTTCAGACCGTTAATACAATTCATGGATGTATGATACTCAGACCGTTAACACAATTCATGGATGTATGTTACTCAGACCGTTATCACAATTCATGGATGTATAATGCTGAGAGCGTTAATTACAATTCATGGATGTATGATGCTCAGAGCGTTAATTACAATTCATGGATGTATGATTCTCAGACCGTTAATACAATTCATGGATGTATGATCTTCAGACCGTTAATACAATTCATGGATGTATGATACTCAGACCGTTAACACAATTCATGGATGTATGATTCTCAGACCGTTAACACAATTCATGGATGTATGATGCTCAGACCGTTAACACAATTCATGGATGTATGATACTCAGACCGTTATCACAATTCATGGATGTATAATGCTGAGAGCGTTAATCACAATTCATGGATGTATGATACTCAGACCGTTAACACAATTCATGGATGTATGATACTCAGACCGTTAATACAATTCATGGATGTATGATACTCAGACCGTTAATACAATTCATGGATGTATGATACTCAGACCGTTAACACAATTCATGGATGTATTACTCAGACCGTTAACACAATTCATGGATGTATGATTACTCAGACCGTTAATACAATTCATGGATGTATGATACTCAGACCGTTAACACAATTCATGGATGTATGATACTCAGACCGTTAACACAATTCATGGATGTGTGTTACTCAGACCGTTATCGCAATTCATGGATGTATAATGCTGAGAGCGTTAATTACAATTCATGGATGTATGATTCTCAGACCGTTAATACAATTCATGGATGTATGATACTCAGACCGTTATCGCAATTCATGGATGTATAATGCTGAGAGCGTTAATTACAATTCATGGATGTATGATTTTCAGACCGTTAATACAATTCATGGATGTATGATACTCAGACCGTTAATACAATTCATGGATGTATGATACTCAGACCGTTAACACAATTCATGGATGTATGTTACTCAGACCGTTATCGCAATTCATGGATGTATGATGCTGAGAGCGTTAATCACAATTCATGGATGTATGATACTCAGACGTTAACACAATTCATGGATGTATAATGCTGAGAGCGTTAATTACAATTCATGGATGTATGATTTTCAGACCGTTAATACAATTCATGGATGTATGATACTCAGACCGTTAATACAATTCATGGATGTATGATACTCAGACCGTTAACACAATTCATGGATGTGTGTTACTCAGACCGTTATCGCAATTCATGGATGTATAATGCTGAGAGCGTTAATTACAATTCATGGATGTATGATTTTCAGACCGTTAATACAATTCATGGATGTATGATACTCAGACCGTTAACACAATTCATGGATGTGTGTTACTCAGACCGTTATCGCAATTCATGGATGTATAATGCTGAGAGCGTTAATCACAATTCATGGATGTATGATACTCAGACGTTATCACAATTCATGGATGTATAATGCTGAGAGCGTTAATTACAATTCATGGATGTATGATTTTCAGACCGTTAATACAATTCATGGATGTATGATACTCAGACCGTTAATACAATTCATGGATGTATGATACTCAGACCGTTAACACAATTCATGGATGTGTGTTACTCAGACCGTTATCAATTCATGGATGTATAATGCTGAGAGCGTTAATTACAATTCATGGATGTATGATTTTCAGACCGTTAATACAATTCATGGATGTATGATACTCAGACCGTTAACACAATTCATGGATGTATGATACTCAGACCGTTAACACAATTCATGGATGTATGATGCTCAGACCGTTAATTACAATTCATGGATGTATAATGCTGAGAGCGTTAATTACAATTCATGGATGTATGATTCTCAGACCGTTAATACAATTCATGGATGTATGATACTCAGACCGTTAACACAATTCATGGATGTATGATACTCAGACCGTTACAATTCATGGATGTATAATGCTCAGACCGTTAACACAATTCATGGATGTATGATGCTCAGACCGTTAATACAATTCATGGATGTATGACTCAGACCGTTAATACAATTCATGGATGTATGATACTCAGACCGTTAACACAATTCATGGATGTATGATACTCAGACCGTTAACACAATTCATGGATGTATGATACTCAGACCGTTAATACAATTCATGGATGTATGATACTCAGACCGTTAATACAATTCATGGATGTATGATTCTCAGACCGTTAACACAATTCATGGATGTATGATTCTCAGACCGTTAACACAATTCATGGATGTGTGTTACTCAGACCGTTATCACAATTCATGGATGTATAATGCTGAGAGCGTTAATCACAATTCATGGATGTATGATACTCAGACCGTTAACACAATTCATGGATGTGTGTTACTCAGACCGTTATCGCAATTCATGGATGTATAATGCTGAGAGCGTTAATACAATTCATGGATGTATGATTTTCAGACCGTTAATACAATTCATGGATGTATGATACTCAGACCGTTATCAATTCATGGATGTATAATGCTGAGAGCGTTAATTACAATTCATGGATGTATGATTTTCAGACCGTTAATACAATTCATGGATGTATGATACTCAGACCGTTAATACAATTCATGGATGTATGATACTCAGACCGTTAACACAATTCATGGATGTGTGTTACTCAGACCGTTATCGCAATTCATGGATGTATAATGCTGAGAGCGTTAATCACAATTCATGGATGTATGATACTCAGACGTTATCACAATTCATGGATGTATAATGCTCAGAGCGTTAATTACAATTCATGGATGTATGATTACTCAGACCGTTAATACAATTCATGGATGTATGATACTCGTTAATACAATTCATGGATGTATGATACTCAGACCGTTAACACAATTCATGGATGTATGTTACTCAGACCGTTATCACAATTCATGGATGTATAATGCTGAGAGCGTTAATTACAATTCATGGATGTATGATGCTCAGACCGTTAATACAATTCATGGATGTATGATTCTCAGACCGTTAATACAATTCATGGATGTATGATACTCAGACCGTTAACACAATTCATGGATGTGTGTTACTCAGACCGTTATCGCAATTCATGGATGTATATGCTGAGAGCGTTAATCACAATTCATGGATGTATGATACTCAGACGTTATCACAATTCATGGATGTATAATGCTGAGAGCGTTAATTACAATTCATGGATGTATGATTTTCAGACCGTTAATACAATTCATGGATGTATGATACTCAGACCGTTAATACAATTCATGGATGTATGATACTCAGACCGTTAACACAATTCATGGATGTGTGTTACTCAGACCGTTAACACAATTCATGGATGTATGTTACTCAGACCGTTATCACAATTCATGGATGTATAATGCTGAGAGTTAATACAATTCATGGATGTATGATTTTCAGACCGTTAATACAATTCATGGATGTATGATACTCAGACCGTTAACACAATTCATGGATGTATAATGCTGAGAGCGTTAACACAATTCATGGATGTATGATTTTCAGACCGTTAATACAATTCATGGATGTATGATACTCAGACCGTTAATACAATTCATGGATGTATGATACTCAGACCGTTAACACAATTCATGGATGTGTGTTACTCAGACCGTTATCGCAATTCATGGATGTATAATGCTGAGAGCGTTAATACAATTCATGGATGTATGATACTCAGACCGTTATCACAATTCATGGATGTATAATGCTGAGAGCGTTAATTACAATTCATGGATGTATGATTTTCAGACCGTTAATACAATTCATGGATGTATGATTCTCAGACCGTTAACACAATTCATGGATGTATGTTACTCAGACCGTTAATACAATTCATGGATGTATGAATCTGAGAGCGTTAACACAATTCATGGATGTATGATACTCAGACCGTTATCACAATTCATGGATGTATAATGCTGAGAGCGTTAATTACAATTCATGGATGTATGATTCTCAGACCGTTAATACAATTCATGGATGTATGATACTCAGACCGTTAACACAATTCATGGATGTGTGTTACTCAGACCGTTAACACAATTCATGGATGTATAATGCTGAGAGCGTTAATTACAATTCATGGATGTATAATGCTGAGAGCGTTAATTACAATTCATGGATGTATGATTTTCAGACCGTTAATACAATTCATGGATGTATGATTCTCAGACCGTTAATACAATTCATGGATGTATGATACTCAGACCGTTAACACAATTCATGGATGTATAATGCTGAGAGCGTTAATTACAATTCATGGATGTATGATTTTCAGACCGTTAATACAATTCATGGATGTATGATACTCAGACCGTTAATACAATTCATGGATGTATGATACTCAGACCGTTAACACAATTCATGGATGTGTGTTACTCAGACCGTTATCGCAATTCATGGATGTATAATGCTGAGAGCGTTAATCACAATTCATGGATGTATGATACTCAGACGTTAACACAATTCATGGATGTATAATGCTCAGAGCGTTAATACAATTCATGGATGTATGATTCTCAGACCGTTAATACAATTCATGGATGTATGATACTCAGACCGTTAACACAATTCATGGATGTATGTTACTCAGACCGTTAACACAATTCATGGATGTGTGTTATCAGACCGTTATCGCAATTCATGGATGTATAATGCTGAGAGCGTTAATCACAATTCATGGATGTATGATACTCAGACCGTTAATACAATTCATGGATGTATGATACTCAGACCGTTAACACAATTCATGGATGTGTGTTACTCAGACCGTTATCACAATTCATGGATGTATAATGCTGAGAGCGTTAATTACAATTCATGGATGTATGATTTTCAGACCGTTAATACAATTCATGGATGTATGATACTCAGACCGTTATCACAATTCATGGATGTATAATGCTGAGAGCGTTAATACAATTCATGGATGTATGATTTTCAGACCGTTAATACAATTCATGGATGTATGATACTCAGACCGTTAATACAATTCATGGATGTATGATACTCAGACCGTTAACACAATTCATGGATGTATGATACTCAGACCGTTATCACAATTCATGGATGTATATGCTGAGAGCGTTAATCACAATTCATGGATGTATGATACTCAGACCGTTATCACAATTCATGGATGTATAATGCTGAGAGCGTTAATTACAATTCATGGATGTATGATTTTCAGACCGTTAATACAATTCATGGATGTATGATACTCAGACCGTTAATACAATTCATGGATGTATGATACTCAGACGTTAACACAATTCATGGATGTATGTTACTCAGACCGTTATCACAATTCATGGATGTATAATGCTGAGAGCGTTAATTACAATTCATGGATGTATGATTTTCAGACCGTTAATACAATTCATGGATGTATGATTCTCAGACCGTTAACACAATTCATGGATGTATGATACTCAGACCGTTATCACAATTCATGGATGTATAATGCTGAGAGCGTTAATTACAATTCATGGATGTATGATTTTCAGACCGTTAATACAATTCATGGATGTATGATACTCAGACCGTTAATACAATTCATGGATGTATGATACTCAGACCGTTAACACAATTCATGGATGTATGACTCAGACCGTTAATCGCAATTCATGGATGTATAATGCTGAGAGCGTTAATCACAATTCATGGATGTATGATACTCAGACGTTATCACAATTCATGGATGTATAATGCTGAGAGCGTTAATTACAATTCATGGATGTATGATTCTCAGACCGTTAATACAATTCATGGATGTATGATACTCAGACCGTTAATACAATTCATGGATGTATGATACTCAGACCGTTAACACAATTCATGGATGTGTGTTACTCAGACCGTTAACACAATTCATGGATGTGTAATGCTGAGAGCGTTAATTACAATTCATGGATGTATGATGCTCAGAGCGTTAATTACAATTCATGGATGTATGATTTCAGACCGTTAATACAATTCATGGATGTATGATACTCAGACCGTTAATACAATTCATGGATGTATGATACTCAGACCGTTAACACAATTCATGGATGTATAATGCTCAGAGCGTTAACACAATTCATGGATGTATGATTTTCAGACCGTTAATACAATTCATGGATGTATGATACTCAGACCGTTAATACAATTCATGGATGTATGATACTCAGACCGTTAACACAATTCATGGATGTATGATACTCAGACCGTTATCACAATTCATGGATGTATGATGCTCAGAGCGTTAATCACAATTCATGGATGTATGATACTCAGACCGTTATCACAATTCATGGATGTATAATGCTGAGAGCGTTAATTACAATTCATGGATGTATGATTACTCAGACCGTTAATACAATTCATGGATGTATGATACTCAGACCGTTAATACAATTCATGGATGTATGATACTCAGACCGTTAACACAATTCATGGATGTATGATACTCAGACCGTTAACACAATTCATGGATGTGTGTTACTCAGACCGTTATCGCAATTCATGGATGTATAATGCTGAGAGCGTTAATTACAATTCATGGATGTATGATTTTCAGACCGTTAATACAATTCATGGATGTATGATACTCAGACCGTTATCACAATTCATGGATGTATAATGCTGAGAGCGTTAATTACAATTCATGGATGTATGATTTTCAGACCGTTAATACAATTCATGGATGTATGATACTCAGACCGTTAATACAATTCATGGATGTATGATACTCAGACCGTTAACACAATTCATGGATGTGTGTTACTCAGACCGTTATCGCAATTCATGGATGTATAATGCTGAGAGCGTTAATCACAATTCATGGATGTATGATACTCAGACCGTTAATCACAATTCATGGATGTATAATGCTGAGAGCGTTAACACAATTCATGGATGTATGATTTTCAGACCGTTATACAATTCATGGATGTATGATGCTCAGACCGTTAATACAATTCATGGATGTATGATACTCAGACCGTTAATACAATTCATGGATGTATAATGCTGAGAGCGTTAATTACAATTCATGGATGTATGATTTTCAGACCGTTAATACAATTCATGGATGTATGATACTCAGACCGTTAATACAATTCATGGATGTATGATACTCAGACCGTTAACACAATTCATGGATGTGTGTTACTCAGACCGTTATCGCAATTCATGGATGTATAATGCTGAGAGCGTTAATCACAATTCATGGATGTATGATACTCAGACGTTAATCACAATTCATGGATGTATAATGCTGAGAGCGTTAATTACAATTCATGGATGTATGATTCTCAGACCGTTAATACAATTCATGGATGTATGATACTCAGACCGTTAACACAATTCATGGATGTGTGTTACTCAGACCGTTAACACAATTCATGGATGTGTAATCAGACCGTTAATACAATTCATGGATGTATAATGCTGAGAGCGTTAATACAATTCATGGATGTATGATTTTCAGACCGTTAATACAATTCATGGATGTATGATACTCAGACCGTTAACACAATTCATGGATGTGTGTTACTCAGACCGTTATCGCAATTCATGGATGTATAATGCTGAGAGCGTTAATTACAATTCATGGATGTATGATTTTCAGACCGTTAATACAATTCATGGATGTATGATACTCAGACCGTTATCGCAATTCATGGATGTATAATGCTGAGAGCGTTAATTACAATTCATGGATGTATGATTACTCAGACCGTTAATACAATTCATGGATGTATGATACTCAGACCGTTAATACAATTCATGGATGTATGATACTCAGACCGTTAACACAATTCATGGATGTATGTTACTCAGACCGTTAATCACAATTCATGGATGTATGATGCTCAGAGCGTTAATCACAATTCATGGATGTATGATACTCAGACCGTTATCACAATTCATGGATGTATAATGCTGAGAGCGTTAATTACAATTCATGGATGTATGATTTTCAGACCGTTAATACAATTCATGGATGTATGATACTCAGACCGTTAATACAATTCATGGATGTATGATACTCAGACCGTTAACACAATTCATGGATGTATAATGCTGAGAGCGTTAATACAATTCATGGATGTATGATTTTCAGACCGTTAATACAATTCATGGATGTATGATGCTCAGACCGTTAATACAATTCATGGATGTATGATTCTCAGACCGTTAACACAATTCATGGATGTATGTTACTCAGACCGTTATCGCAATTCATGGATGTATGATGCTGAGAGCGTTAATCACAATTCATGGATGTATGATACTCAGACCGTTATCACAATTCATGGATGTATAATGCTGAGAGCGTTAATTACAATTCATGGATGTATGATTTTCAGACCGTTAATACAATTCATGGATGTATGATACTCAGACCGTTAATACAATTCATGGATGTATGATACTCAGACCGTTAACACAATTCATGGATGTATGACTCAGACCGTTAACACAATTCATGGATGTATGTTGCTCAGACCGTTAACACAATTCATGGATGTATGTTACTCAGACCGTTAACACAATTCATGGATGTATAATGCTCAGAGCGTTAATCACAATTCATGGATGTATGATGCTCAGAGCGTTAATTACAATTCATGGATGTATGATTCTCAGACCGTTAATACAATTCATGGATGTATGATTCTCAGACCGTTAACACAATTCATGGATGTATGATACTCAGACCGTTAACACAATTCATGGATGTATAATGCTCAGAGCGTTAATTACAATTCATGGATGTATGATTCTCAGACCGTTAATACAATTCATGGATGTATGATACTCAGACCGTTAACACAATTCATGGATGTATGATACTCAGACCGTTAACACAATTCATGGATGTGTGTTATCAGACCGTTATCGCAATTCATGGATGTATAATGCTGAGAGCGTTAATTACAATTCATGGATGTATGATTTTCAGACCGTTAATACAATTCATGGATGTATGATACTCAGACCGTTAACACAATTCATGGATGTGTGTTACTCAGACCGTTATCGCAATTCATGGATGTATAATGCTGAGAGCGTTAATACAATTCATGGATGTATGATTCTCAGACCGTTAATACAATTCATGGATGTATAATGCTCAGAGCGTTAATACAATTCATGGATGTATGATTCTCAGACCGTTAATACAATTCATGGATGTATGATACTCAGACCGTTAATACAATTCATGGATGTATGATACTCAGACCGTTAACACAATTCATGGATGTGTGTTACTCAGACCGTTATCGCAATTCATGGATGTATAATGCTGAGAGCGTTAATTACAATTCATGGATGTATGATTTTCAGACCGTTAATACAATTCATGGATGTATGATACTCAGACCGTTAACACAATTCATGGATGTATGATACTCAGACCGTTATCACAATTCATGGATGTATAATGCTGAGAGCGTTAATTACAATTCATGGATGTATGATTTTCAGACCGTTAATACAATTCATGGATGTATGATACTCAGACCGTTAATACAATTCATGGATGTATGATACTCAGACCGTTAACACAATTCATGGATGTGTGTTACTCAGACCGTTATCGCAATTCATGGATGTATAATGCTGAGAGCGTTAATCACAATTCATGGATGTATGATACTCAGACGTTATCACAATTCATGGATGTATAATGCTGAGAGCGTTAATTACAATTCATGGATGTATGATTCTCAGACCGTTAATACAATTCATGGATGTATGATACTCAGACCGTTAATACAATTCATGGATGTATGATACTCAGACCGTTAACACAATTCATGGATGTATGTTACTCAGACCGTTAACACAATTCATGGATGTGTGTTACTCAGACCGTTATCACAATTCATGGATGTATAATGCTGAGAG